ATTTTTCTTCCAGAAATTTTCTATTAATAAAACAATCAGGAAAAAAGTAATGCCAGCACCTTTTTTCATCAGTGTGTTCAAGATGATTTTCCGGTGCAGCCAAATCGTGAAAAAACTTGGATCCATTGGTTATTATGCAAGGCAAATGTCAATCGGAATCAAAAATTGATTGTAAAAATTTAAAAAAATTTGCTGCTGACCAAATCAAACAGCAAAGACAAAAACAACAAAACTGATCCCCATCAGTGAAGCGAATCCAAGAAAAAATATCACTCAGCAGACAGCAGGAAAGATGAGAGAGAGAAAGAAATTGACAATTAGTCTCTCTCCCATTATTTGTTATCACCTTTACCATTCATGGTGGTGATCCTCACCATAATCGGTCCAGTGATTGGCACAATAATTTGACAACAAAAAAGAAAAAACTCTGTCCACTCTCGTTTGAAAGAGTGACCGAAATGAAATCATATATAAATGGCTTGACCATCTAGACTTCCATCCATTTTGTCATATGTGTGCATGTTTACTTCCAAAACCAAAAACCAAACCAGAAAAATTTCAATTCAACACTAAATGCCACCTATAACCATTAATCAAAGATCCTATTCACCAACAACAACCACAGATAATAGAAACAAATTGACCAATCGTAGTAATAACATAGATTTGGGCACCATCTCTTCGCCGAAATTCGTACTAACATTGATCACAATGTTAACATTCACTATATTTCTAATGATGTTTGGTGTGGTATTTGGCCAGCAAACTGGTCAAATACCGGCTAATACTTCATCATCAGGTGCTGGCAATCATAAGAATGAAACATCATCCTCAACATCATTGAATCATAAACCATCCATTTCCAATAGCAATAATTATGCTGCTAGTATTTCACTGCTTACATCCATCAATAACAACAATAAACCTAATTTGAATCCAAATTCGGGTGAGTTACATTCGCAAATTGCAAAATCATATTTCCAAGTCAACATTTTTTCTCGCCAAAAAAATGTTGATATCAAAACCAAATATTTTCCAGAGAAATCAAATCAATAAAAAGCAAAGGTGAATCAATCGATTTTTAATCAAAAAAACTTGATCGATTCCCGACCATTATTTGAAGCAAATTTTAAAAATGACAAAAAAGACAATTTACCAATTTTTTCAAATTTCCGATTGATAATTTTGATTTCTTTTTGTTTTTGTCTTCAATTTTGCCTTTGACGGAAAAAGATAAACTTTATAGTTTAGGTTCAAAATCGGATTCGATATCAGCACCGGTCTATGGCTCGAAACAAGTAAGTTTGTTTGTTCAAGTTGAGGTTATGGCTGATCTGAAGTTGATTTGTGGTTTCAGTCGATAGCGGATAATAATAACGAGCAAAATGGCCAACAACAGACGTACAGTCCATATCTGATGCCAATAAGTAATTATTACACTGGAAGTAGCTCGACGGTTAGTGCCACGATTGCTAGAAGTCCTAGATCACCTTACCAGTATACTCATTACAACTCACAGGCTGAAAATAATATGCCTTCATCGATACAGGATAAAATGGTGAAAAGCAATTCCAATCACAACAATAATGGAACCAATCATGCCGATGATAACATTGCTGCAACACAAGAACGTCTTAGCAAACAATTGCAAATGGCATTACTGTACAATCAATTGCTGCAGTTGCAACAACAATATCGACCGTCATTGTATGGATCGAATGTCGGCTCTGGTCTGGCTGGATATAGTGGCTATCAATATGGCTTTCCCAATTCCATTTCCTCACTATACAATTATCTCGCTAATGGACCCGATATGAATTTGGAGTTGCTGCCCACAACATCGGCAACCAGTGTCAATCCATCGTCATCAGCATCC